AGAAATGAGTTAATACACGTAAAGCAATTACAATATGTTAGATGCTATTGTAACAACCACTCGGCAACTCCGCTAATGACTAAATGAAGGTACTGACATGACAGCAAGCCAACTCGCACGTATACTAACGAAGAGGGTGATGGAGAGCTGCATTCACGCAAAAACCCGAAGCAATATCTTTGTGTAGACAGATGCCTACCCTATTCGTGGCGCTGACATTCTAGGATCCATAATATCTTAATTTACATAATCACCCCCTGCCTTCCCCACATCCTCCCAGCGTTCTGGGTAACACCTGACACAGACCTTGGAAGCTCAGCGTCCTCCCCCCTTCGGGCCTGTTCACCTTCCCCTCCTCCCCTCCACGCACCACGTAGACCTATACCTCAGCCTGGACTGGGGGCTGGCCGCCCAGGCAGGCTACTCTCGCTTGGTATTTCAATATGCAAGGAAGAATTTAAATGAAATAACAGCACACGGACTTCGACGATACAATGAAGAGGTCTGTCCACTGTCAGGGGAAGAAGGTGGTTTAAAAGCACAAATGGGGGCACCCGGATGGCTCAGTTGTTAAGCGTCTGCCTTTGGCTCAGGTCATGATCCCAGGGTCCTGGGATTGAGCCCTGCATCGGGCTCCCTGCTCGATGGGAAGCCTGCTTCTCCCTCTCCCACTCCCCCTGCTTGTGTTCCCTCTCTCACTGTGTCTCTATCAAATAAATAAATAAAATCTTTAAATAAATAAATAAATGCAAGCACAAATGGAGTGCTTGCATTTAAATCATAATCTAATCCCCAGCTATTCAGTCAGACCAGACAAAGGCACTGCACTTCCTTCATGAGATCCTGTCTCTAGGATAACCTTGTGGAGATGTGTGGAAACGGAGCAGATGACCAGAGGAAATGGGCAAAGGGGGCCAATAACTCAGGAAGAGAAAGCATTCCCCAGTCTTCCATATTATGTAAAATTGCATTGTTCTTAAGGGACTGCATCAAATTCCAGAAATGGAAGGAACCTGAGAAATCTTGAATTCTCTCCTCTCCCCATGCCTGACAAACAAAACAAAACAAAACCATAGCCTCTGCTTTAAAATCCCCCAAGATAGAGAGTACTCTACTCTCTCAAGCAAGACGATCCTTGCAGGGCATTGGGAATCACCATAGATTACTCTTCCCTACCCCAACCCAGGACTGACATTCCCCGTCAAGAACCTGCAACCTTGACTTGTGTAAGATGGTTAGATGGAGCCCTCGGCTTCCTTTTGCCCTCTTGTGTCCACTTTCCTGCTTGACCAAGACCAACTTCCAGCGGGGCCCCCCCACACGTGGCCTCCAGACCAGGAACCAAGCCTCACTAAGTGCCCCAATTTCAAAGCTTTTGTGTTTTGAGTTAAGCAGCTTTTCATTTAGGCCACACTCTCGGTTCATGTCCAGCATGTCACCCACTAACGCGTTCTCTCCCACCTGACGCACACTCTAAAGCCGGCGGAAAATGGTTTTTTTAATCCATGCAATTAACTTCCCCTGTCTCCTCTGCAGAGTGAAGGCCAAGAGGCCACTTGGTACCTGGGGCTGCAGAGACAGAGGAACCCATTTTAGGATTGGACCAGAAAGCTGAGGACATGCCCAGGGCCAAGACCCCGGCGGCGGAAGACAGACCCCAGGGAGGATCTTCTCCATCAGCTTGAATCCTGCTCCCTTACTTTGAGCAACTGTAAGTCACTCCAAAACAACTCACTCCCCCTGCCACGTCTCCTCTTTCCCACCTTGAGCAGTGACTCCGGATGACAGAGTGAGGAGCAGGCCTATGAAATGCAGGACTGGTGATGTCACGTGCGCGTTCTACAGCAAGATCAACTCCTCCAGGCCTCTCCACCATCATCACTCCCTTCCCCCAAGATTCCCAAGGCCTCTGCCTGTCCTCCTCCTTCTGGCCTTCCCAACCCAGCCCGTCTGGAGCCAACAAGTCCCCAGCCACTCCTGACTCAGTGCCATGCCTGACAAGGTTAAGAAACAGGACTGACTGGCTCTACCTGTCCTCGCCCTTTCCCAACCTTCCATTCCCCTGGGCGTGGCACCCCACCCACCCCCCAACACCCTCCTGCTCTACCAACTATGCGTCTCACACTTCCCTCACACCCAGGCCATCTGACTTCACCAACTCCACTCTCTCCCCCCTGAAACATCTTCGGGAACGATTCAGTGTAATTCAGCCCACGTTACCAGTGAGACACTGAATAGACAGACACACAGACAATGGCCAGGCCATAGATAAAAACAGAACTCGGACCCACACGGATGCATGAGGCAGCCGTCCGGCCAGGAAGTCAAACCCCAACCGCTGTAGCAGTAAGACCCAAATGGTCAGGACTCACTCGCTCCCAGCTGCCTTCCCTAATTGTTGCCCCCGCTTCGCACGTAGGACCAATCAGAGAGAGCCAAGTACGCTCCCCCAGCCAATCACGTAGCATGTGGGCTGATGGGACGCCACCTCCAGCTTCTCCAGCCTCTCCAGGCCAACAGCCTCCGGCCTCGCGCTGGGGGCACACCGGAAGCCTTTCCCCTCTGAGCCGCTCTCAGGCTCTCCGAGTGATGCCGACTGACTCGCCTGCGACAGCAAACTCTGTATAAACCCTCGCCTGTTCCCATTTGGGTGCTCCTTTCCTTTCATACCACATTCCTAATCCAAGCCACAGCCCCCAACTCACATGAAGCTCTTAGTCTAGTAAACAGCACTATGCAGTATGTGTAATATGCCATCTGGCAGAAGCGTGTCGAGTAAGGGTCCCGTATCAACACGTACGCGTGCTGGTGTATGCTAGGACGCATACAAATACGTGTGCGTCCTACAAATACGGTACAGAGGCACGGGCGACGAATCGCTGGTGCTGCGGGGAACTGACAACTTCCCAGGAGGGAGGCCAACTGGGCTGGTTTTGAAATACGAAGAGCCCTCCCTAAGCAGACAGCTGTGGGGAAAGGGAAGAGTGGTTCTTCTCATTCTTCTCCTCCCCTCCCCTCGCAGAGACTAAGCTTTCCCCCTCGTAGACCAATTTCGCTTTCGGACATGCTCCATTAAGTACCGCATTTATTTCTGCATCTTTAACGTCCGCGTCTCTACTGAGTAATGCCCTTCACACTGCCGTGTGCTTGTGCTACTTTACCAAAACCACCACCCCGCAAAAAGAAGAAGAAAAAAAATTCTTGCCCAGACCTGGCCAGCCTAGCTGAATGCGATCTTCCCTGTGCTTCTAACTTCAAGAGTATCTTTAAGAGCCAACCAACATCTCTGCACTCACCAGAGCCCTCTGCATCTGGCTGTCTGTCGCCCTCCCTGCTCCGCGAGCCCTGGCCCACGCTGACAGAGCCACCAAATCCAAAGCTTTTTTCTCAGTCTCCACTCCCACAGCTCCCCTTCCTCTGGCTTCCTTGGACACTCGACTGGCCCAGTCCTCCTCCCCACTGTGTGGCCACTCTCTTTCTCCTCCATGTGCACCTACCATAGAAAATGGGTCTTCCCCAAAATCTGCCCTGGGTCTCCTTCCTCTTTACCAACTTAAAGTTTTCAAATGACCACCAAGTCTCCATCACTGGCACGCACCTCTTGTCCACAGTCTTAACTCCCTGTTGAGTTCACCTCTCCAGAAGCCGTAACATCACCTCAAATTCAGGATATCCAAAATGACTTCTTTCTTCCCAAATCTTTTTCCTCCTCCTACACAACCATATATCCAAGTCACCCAGGCCCCAAACCTTCATGTCCCCTTTCTCTTCTGTTCACTGGCAACTTAATGTCCGTTGTTAAGTCCTTCAGTTCCATTTCTTCCTTATTATCTGCGTTCAATCCCCTTCTCCTGCTGCTCTCTTTACGGTGGGCCCAGTCCTCAGAACTTGCAGGCCAGCTATTACAACTTCCTCAATGGTTCTAAGCCTCCAGGCATTCCCCACATTGTCCACTGGAAGGAAACCTACCCTTAATAAAACCAGATTCTTCAAGGTTGTAAATGAAGAAAGAGTGCCTACATAGGGAGAGGAAGCTCTACTGGGCACCCCTGACTTCCATTTACCAAAATTCACCCAACAGCCTTTAAGTAGTAGCCTTTAGGTAGTTACTCTGCTCCACCATCTTAACCTGGTAATTCAATGGGACCGTGTGGGACTGTTGCCTAGGCTAGAGAGCTTTAACACAGATTCCGAAATAGGTCCCAAGCATCTACAGGTTTCTTTGCACACTGCCGTGGGAGACCAAGTCAGGGAAGGAAGTTAGAAAGCCTACCAGAATATCTGATGTACAAAAATGGCCACCCCAGAAGGTTGAGCCAGCAAGAGAAACACCCACCAGTGGTGGTAAAAATCCAAAGATGAAAAGAATTTGAGGGAACAGGAGTCTGAGCCACAAAATCCACCCCCCCCAATCTCCCTACATGGAAGTTCCCTTCTACTTCAGGATGAATGATTTTACTAAGAAAGCTGGAGAGTTTCCTTACACCCACTTTTTATATCACTCCCTGTACAAAAGCCTGCACTGACTTCTAATGGCTTCCCACCACCCAGGAACAGCTAAGTCTAAATACCTTCTTCGTCTGCCAAGCAAGGCTTTCTGCCTTCTGGTTAATCCAATCTGCTTTTCCACTTCCATTTCCCACCCATCTCCTACATACCATAGGCCCCATGCTTTTATACCTCTATGTGCTTCCTCACACTGTCCCTTCCATGTGGAATTCATCCATTCTGCCTATATTTATGGAGAGCTCACTGTCCCCTCTGCTATGAGCTGGGATGCCTTTTCCTCACCTTCCCATATCCAAATATTACCAAACCTGTTGGCCCAGTTCAAGAGTCATCTCATCCCTCATGCGTTCAGATTCAGCAAGCTAGAATGAATCTTGCCCTCCTCGGACCACTTACACCTTCTCAGAGCACCTAGGGCATTCTGCCTTCTATTACGGTTACTTGGGTAAGTGGGTAAATGCCACCTCCCCTACATGTTTGAATCCTACCACCTGTGCCAACGCGTTCCAATTGCCTGGAAATGGATGATTTGCTTGTCTGTCGCCTCCAGAACAGGAGCTCAATGAGGGCCACCGCGGCGACCTCGCATCCTGCACAGGAATTCAAGGACCATCTGTTGAATGAATGACTTGATTAAGGAATGCTTTATTCCTGTAATCTTCCTTGCACTTCTTTCTCACCCCATTAGCATCTGGTTCTTCATTTAGGAGAAAAGAATGAAAAGGTAGAAAGAAAATTGCTTCGGGTCAAGAATTTGTCGCGCAAAAGCCACAGCAGAGCCGGAAGCGTGACAGTGCAGCCGGAACGCCCTTCCGCGCCCTTCCGCGCCCTTCCACGCCCTTCCACGCCCTTCCACGCCGGGCGCGGTTCTCCCCCGGGGCTCCGGCTCGCGCCCACCCCCCGCCTCGCCCCAGGTCCGGGGCGCCGAGGGCGAGGCCGCCTGAGACAGGTGCCCCACGCAGCCTCCCCCAGC